AAAATCACTGGGGTTGGACTTAATGATCTTGGAGGTCCTTTTAGCTCTAAGACCCTCTCAGGCACAAGAAAAAAAGGCAGCAACACTACCAAGTATCTTTCAGGAGGGTTTGAGGCTCAGAAAGGCATCAGGCTACTGCTTTTGCACCAGAGAACAGTTTTTTAAGGGGCACAGCCTGCCAGCCTGGGAATCATGCTGCTTCTGATTAGTTGATAGATGTATTACATATTTTTATCAAGCTACAGATATTCCAACTGTCATACAGGGGCCACTGAATTACTTTCTCCACAATGAACTAAACTTTACCCACATTGCACAGCTTTTCTAATCTTAGAATTGCAAATAGTGTAAATAAATTGAGGCAATAAAGAAAACAAAAAGATAGAATACAGAAGCAGGAGGAGTGCTAAAAGGAAAGGAAGAGAGATAGGAAAGGCCAGTACTGGTTTCTTTAAAAAAAAATGCAATACTCTTCATTTGTATAGCATTTAACAGTTTACAAAAGCTTTCACATTTATCATATTTGATTATGAGTAAGTGTGCAAGACAAGGATGATTATCTCCTTTTAGAGATGTTGGAGAAATAACATGCCCAAAGTCAGACAATGATCTACTCACTCCTAGTCATCTGTTACTGTTGTTTGTTTTCAGTCATGGTCTGACTCTTTGTGACTCCATTTAGGGTTTTATTGGCAAAGATACTGGAGTGTTTTGCTATTTCCTTCTCCAGCACATTTTACAGATGAGGAAACTGAGGCAAATAGGATTAAATGACTTGCCCTGGAGTCACAGTTAGTGTCTGAGGTGTCCAGTCTACTTTTACTATATTACACTGCCTCAAATTTAGTAATTTTTTTAAAAAGTAAATTCAATTAACATCTACTAAGCACCCACTTTGTATACAACCTACACTAGGCACTGAGAGAGATACAAATGGTCTTGGTAGGAGTTTTCTGTTTAGTAGGGGAATAACACATTCACATAACTATAGTACATAATGTAGGATAAGTTAGATGCTAAACAAAGCTTATTATCACTTTTGTGGGAGGGGAGAGTGGGTGTGGTCATGGAAAGCAACAAACAATTCTGGCACCTGGGGCAGGCTGCACAAAATATGCCCTGGGCAAGAGGTGGGGGGTCACAGTAGCTCCCCAAAGGGCTAAGAAGTGGCTGTTAGAGAATTTACTATGGAGGAGGAGAAGGAAACACATCTACTGGGTTGAAGCCACCCTGGGGGAAGAAGCACCAACTGGTAGATTACTATTTTATTTTTCTTGCTAACTAGGTGCCAGTTGTTTTAACTCTCCTAAAAGACAGCTATTTGTTTAAATGCTGTCAATTGCAGCACCTAAGGGAAAAGCTCTGACCACACAGCCCTAGTTACAGCTCTGGCTTCAGGGGTAAAATCTGAGTCAGTTTTTAAATGAAGGGTAGGAATTCAATATGAGAGGTACACATTCCAAACACTGGTAATGGAGGTGACAAAGAAACAGGTGGGCTAGTACTTCAAGTCTTCTAGAGGGCAAGGAATGTTTATGTGGAGTTGTTGTTTGTCCTTGGTTCTTGAAAGGGATCAATGACATCAAAGGGTGATGTCTTGACTTGCAAGTGAATTGGATTTAAGTGAGGCAGGGCTGTGCAAGGTCATCCGCCCCACTCTCTACTCCAGTAACTGGAGTCCAATGGCAAGACACTGATCAGGATGACTGGCAATGGTCCCCAATGCAGTAAGAGACCTTGACCTTTTTAAGTTAAGGTCTTTCTCTGGTCTCAATTTGTTTGAGGCAACACCCATTCTGTAGTTAAAGTCTAGGTAGAACAGGTAGAAAGGAGTACCATGAGTTGAGGCTTAGAAAAGTAGGGTGGTGACAAATTTTAGAGAACCTTGAATGGGAGCAGAAGATTTTGAACTTTATTTTGTAGAAATAAGCCATTGGCATTTATTGAACAGATGAGTGACACAATAAATCTATGCATAATGAATATGGTTGTATGAAGGGTGAATTGGAGGGGAGTGGAAACAGGAGTTCCTGAAATAGTCTATGTAGGTGGTAATAAGGGTTTACATTAGAGTGTTCAGTGGGAATAGAGAAGAGGGGGTAGATGTTAGGTAGTGTAGTTGATGAAACATTAGAACTGGAGTCAGGAAGAACCAAGTTCAGAACTAGTCTCAGACACATAATAGCCCTGTGACCCTTGGCAAATCATTTAACTTTTGTCAGTCTGTTTCCCCATCAGTAAAAGGAGGATAACAATAGCACTTAATCTACAGAGTAGTTGTGAGGATAAGAGATAATATATGCAAAGCACTTGGCAAAGCTCTATATAAATGCTGTTATTTTTATTGTGTAGGTGGTATCTTTAGGTCTTTCAACATACATTTAAATGCTATGGTGTGTCTGTGCCAGGTGTTAGGGATGATTAAAGACATTCTCAGCTCTCAAGGAATTTATAATCGTATAGTTTGCAATGATTATTAGATTGTATGCCATCTGATACCGAACTTTACTTCCTTTTTGTAACACATGCTTTACAAATACCCTGGTTGGTAGTACTGTCACTAGGGCTGGTGGGGACCAGAATCACAGAATTCTAGAGTTAGGATCTCAGCGGTCATGGAGTCCAACTCACACTGGAAGTCCAAACACATATCTATGAAAATTTATCAGAGAGGTGGGTGAGCCAACCTATTTTAAGACTCCAACGTACTTCTGGACAGCTCTAATAACTAGGAAGGTTTTTTCCTAATATAAAGTCTAAATTTCCCCCTTTTCATCTTCTACCTGCTCTTCTTGGTTCTTTTCCTTTGAGACCAAATAATATATCTAACCCCTCTTCCGCATGACAGCCCTTCAAATACTTGACAGCCATGGACTCCTTTAGTCTTCTATTCTCCAAGCTAAATAGCCTTTGGTGTTTCAACTAATTCTTATATGACAAGAACTTAAGGCCTTACATCATTTCAGTTTATCAATGTCCTTAAAAATAATATTCCAAATGTGATCTCACCTTGGTGTAGAAGGATTACCTCTTCATTCTTGGAAGCTATGCCTCTCTCAACATAGCCCAAGACTGTTTAAGCTTTTGTGGATGTTGGATCACACTGCTGACTCTTACTGTAGTGTGCTGTCCACTAAAACCTCCAGATTATCTCATTATTGCTAGCTAACCATATCTTTTTCCATAGTGTACTTGTGAAATTTTTTTTGAACCTAAGCATACATTTATTCCAACTGAATTTCATCTTATTACATTCCATCTAATGTACCTGCTGACTCTTAGTCTACTACCTTACTTAGACTAGGGCCCATTTCTCCCCAGAATCAGCCCAATCAAAAACCATAACATCTCCTTGGTATTTCAGAAGGGTGAGTGACAAAACCACTTCCAAAAAGACCTTTTTCTTCTTGGAACTCAAGAGAATTTTATTTATCCTTGGTTCAGGCACTTACCATATATTACTTTCGTACTATTTACATACTTGTTACATTGTGCTTGTTAAACTGTGAGGTCAGTGATGGAAAGGACTTAGTCATATGCAAACTTTCCAGTGCTCTCTACACTGTAAGGAGCAAAACGTTTGTTGAATTAATTTGAATGCCTAGGAGAAAAATAAATTATATACACATATATGTATGTGTGCATATACAGATGTATGCATATGAACAGACAAGTGTATGTGTGCGTAGATGTAATTTGGACAGAATCATTGCTCCACCGTGGAGGTATGTGTATGTATGTATATTTATATATACTAGTTATAAATACAGTTGTTACATATATGCAGACAGAATCATTATTGCACCATGGGGGATATGTATATGTAATGTTTATAGGGGCTATCTGTGCCCTACCTGTGGCAGAGCCTTCAAAGTTTGTATTGGTCTGATCAGTCACAGTCCAACATACTGTTCCCAACAGTAAGGTCACTTAGTCCTTTCCTAATACAAGACCAACAACCAATATATACTATAGTTGCAATATGTATGTACATACATACACATACAATAGTTGTAATAAAGTTTATGTATTTGTATGTGTATACACACCCGTCCACCAGCCATGGTAGAACAACAATACGGTTTGTGTTTATACATGTATACACCCATCCACTTCCACAGTGAAACAATGATTCTCTGTACATATATACTATGTGTGTGTGTATATAATATATGCACTCTATATATTTTGCACATATATATTTTTATACATACACCCATATCCACCTACTCCCACGGTGGAACAATGATGCTCTGTGTGTGTGTGTATACTCTGTGTATAGAGACACACCGGCATATACCATGTATATAAAAACATTATAAATTTTGTGTCTATATATATATATCTCTATATCTCTATATCTCTAGTATATGCTACACGTGTATTTACATACACACACCCCCCCTCCACGGTGGAACAATGATTTGGTTCAAAGTATCACTAAGATAGTCGTGGATTACATTGTTTCCAAGCATCAAGGGCTGTGCTACACCCGCCCAAGCCTCGGCACTGCGGGATTCGCCAGCGGCAGGTGACCCCGGACTCACCCAGCGGAGGAATGTGCCCATTTATCGGGAGCCGGAGACACCGCCCGCCTTCTGCGCCGCTCCGATCCCCATTCTCAGACACCCGGGGCCAGTGCGGGCAGAGCCGCCGCGCTCCGGACGCGGAACGCCCCCGGAGAGGGGGCGCGTTGGCTCGGCGATCCCACCTCCAACCAAACCTCATTCCCCGCCCCCTTCCCTACAAATCTGGGTGTCCCCCAGCGCCCACGTGGGGGCTGGGGGCTGCCGACGCGCCCTGCCCGATCGGGCCCCTCCGCCCGGGGCCCTCCCGGGGAGTCATTCGCACCCGTCAACCACCATTCACCGCCGGAGGAGGGGCTGCGGGGTGGCTGGGCCACGCTGAGCTCCGGGGCCAGACGAGGCTCGGAGGAGCCGCGGTCGCCGCCCTCCTCCCGAAAGACACGTTTCCTCTGCTCCCACGCGCGGTCAGCACAATCACGGACCTCGCCTCCCTCCCTCCCCCCGGGGAGTCCCGTGCGCGCCCCAGCCCACTTCCACAACCGCCACGCCCGGGAGCCGACGGCGGGCACGCGGAGCGGGCGGGGGAGGAGGGAAAGAGCCGAGCTCCGGACAGGAAAGTCCAGGGAGCCTCGCCCACCCTCCTTCCTTTCCCTTCCCCCCTCCCTTCCCTTTCTCCCGGCCTACGGCAGGCGGCGAAGACTCTGTCCTGGGTGCGCAAAGGCGAAAACGGACAGGAGCGGAGGGAGGAAAATCAGGGAGGGGAGGAATTGCGCGGTGAGGTCAGCGCCGCGGAGGGGACGGGAGGGGCAGGGCGAGGCGGGGCGGGGAGGAGGGGGGCGGCGGCCGGCCCCTCCATTGGTTGACTAGCAGGCTGGCTGGGAGCTTGCGCCGCGATCCGGCCTGGCTCACGCACCCGGCTTGGGGTGGAGGGGGGGGCGGGGAAGGAGGCGGGTAGGGTAGGGTGCTGAGGGGACTGGCGAGCGGGCGGACGGACGGACGGGGACGAACCGACCGAATCCCCGGAACCCACCACCACGGAGGCCGGAGGCCGGAGGCCGGGCGGGGTGCGCGTGCGTGGGAGAGACGGCGGCTGCGCGCGCTGAGGGCGCGGGGTTGGTTGTGTGTGTGCTTGTGTGTGAGGAGCGGCGGCGGCGGCGTCGCGGCGAAGGTGGGGAAGGGGCGGCCTGTGTGAGGGGCACCGGCCCATGGCCCCGAGGGGCCGGGGGTCCCAAACCCTTCGCCTCTCGAGAGGAGCCCTAGAAGATGTCGGCTTAGTGGAGAGCGGCCGCCGCCGCCCCCGCGCCGTTGCCTGCTCCGGGGTTCCTCGCTGCCCAGTCCCTCAGTCGCCGGGGGGCTCGCCCTAACTCCGGGCCGTGGATAGTGGCGGCCTCCGCCTGGCCGGGGCTTGAAGGCGGCGGAGCCGAGGGCGCCCCGCGCGCGGGGTCCTGAGCGAGCGAGGGCGTGCGGGCATCATGTCGGCCAAGGTGCGGCTGAAGAAGCTGGAGCAGCTGCTCCTGGACGGGCCGTGGCGCAACGAGAGCTCGCTGAGCGTGGAGGCCCTGCTGGACGTGCTCATCTGCCTCTACACCGAGTGCAGCCAGTCGGCCCTGCGCAGGGACAAGTATGTGGCCGAGTTCCTCGAGTGGGGTAAGTGCGAGCGGCCCTCCCGCCCCGCTCCGCGCCCTCCCCTTCCTTCGCTGTCCTCCTGCCATCCTCTTCCTCCTCTGGACCTCCCTTCTTTGCCCCTCCTCCCCTCTCCACCTCCTCCTTTTCCTTCCTTCCTTCCTTCTTTCTCCTTCACCCCTCTTTTCTCTTCTATCTCTTTTCCTTCCCCCCTCCCTTTTTTTATCCCCCTCACCCCATCCACCCCCAAATCTCCTTCACCTTCACTCTTTTTTCCCCCCTTCGAGGGCTGCATCTCCTGCCATATTCCTGACTGCTCTAATAGAACTCACTATACGGCTTCCTAGATCAGCCCCTTGGATATCATATCCTGCAGAGCTCCCTGGGATATCCGCTACTCACCACCCCCACCCCTTTGGCTGTCGAACTTAACCCTTGGCCTCTTGTGCACTGCTCGTGAGAGGAGTCATAAGCTGCATTCGATGATGTGTAGCAAACATGAAGTGACTGCGGGGATATGTGCTAAGGGGGGAGAGGAATGTGTGGAAGGGAGGGGAAGATAGAAGGTAGGCATGGAGTCTGCTCTTATACTGTATTATTACTTACGGTGTTCTCCCCCCCCCCCATTTCCTATGACTTGGGGCCTAGCATCCGTCGCTCTGTCAAAGGCTAGGAATACCTCCATGACCACTGTTCACATGATTCTTCCACGCCAGGATGTCTTTCCAATAGCAGCCCCAGGGGTGTTGCATTTTTATGTCACTAATATCATTGCCAATTAAATATTTTCAATGTAATTGCAATGTGTTTGTAATGGTATTAACATTTTTATTTGGAGGTAGCCTGAAATCCAAACTATGTGGGATAATAGACTTTTTCTCCCTTACCTGTTGGTAGAGGTTCTTAGTGCCTTATTCAGCCCTCAAAATGATGCTTGAATAAATATCTCTAAAGGATCTATTAGGAGAAAAGTCTAAACGAATTTTTTTTGAAAACAATTCTTGTTAAATAGTAGATACATCTTTGCAAATTGGGTAAGACTTTTACTTAAACCCTTTTCTATGTAAAAGGCAGCATGGCATAGTGGACATAGTACTGAGCTGTAGTGAGTAGGGCCTGGGTTTGAGTCTGGCCTCTGATACTGCCTGTTGACCCTGCACAAATCACCTCTCTGTTCTAGGCAAGTCACACAGAAGATACTAACCTACATCACAGAGGGAATTTCCTCATCTGGGAGTTCCCAATGCCAATGAAATCAAACTCCATTTCTATCCCTGTAGATTACCTAGTGTTGTGGCATTAAGGCACTTTAGTGTTCTTCCATATAAAGCAATAGGAAGGCGGAGGAAAAATATCCCAAACCATGGAATTACAGATCTAGAATGCACCTATTTAAAATTACACGTTCCTCAGGTCAGTACTGTGTGGGAATCTCATAGGTTCCCAATACTTTTCTTCTTATTTCAGATATAACTGACTAGGTTCTGCCAAGTATGTGTAATGGTTGGAACTCACTAAATTTATTTATATAAAATATGAATTATTGTATTCTTAATTAGGGACTTTGCTACAGAGAAAAAACCCTGATTTTTGGGATGGCATTTTTTTTTAAACGTTGAGTTGAGAAAATTTTTCTTAGTAAAATGTTAAGGTCACATGGAATCAACAAGAGAATGATGCACTAAGAAAATTGCTGTTTCTGTTTAATTTCTGTGGTTGCCACCATTCATTGTTACATACAATATTAAATTGGTTTCATTTCCTTTGATCCCTTTTTCAGGGTCAATAGTACAGTGTCCAACTGAATAATTAACTAATGTTACATCTGCTTTTGAAAGGGACTGTTTGAGCCTTTATATTTATTTTATTTATTTTCTAAATGCTGTGGCTTCCATTCCTTTATAAACTACTTGATTTTGAAAGACCAAGACAAGATTACAAGTTAGGGTATATGACAGTAAAGCATCAGTTGTTGGATGATACAGAATTGATGTATCAGCTTTAGTAGAATGTACAACCTGGTAATTGTGTGGTCGTTATTCTTAAGACTGGGCGATTTCCATATTGGTATTCATTGTGCAGCTGAACTGACAACTAATTTAGGGTTCCAGTTCTCTGTAGCCCATTTGTAGCTCTAGTAACTGTAAATTGTAAGTGGACTTGAAAAACAGGAAAACAAAACTGTTAAATGTGTGATACTAAAATTGGTAAATTTTAACTCTTAAGTTACAATGGTGTAATCATTATACATTATGATAGAGGTCTTTGTGTAATTGTGTAACTTTGTATAAGGTATCATTAGGGACAAAGTATAGTAAAACATTTTGGATATATGTGGCAACTTTATTCCAAATAACTTAACACTTTTCCAAAATTGGAAAGAGTTATAGATAAAATTTTAGTCTTTGTTACCACATTTGTTCTATACTAAAATCTTGTTGTAGTTATACGTGCATATTTCTTCAATAGATCTATGACCTCATTGATGTAGTTACTTCCTCCAAGTGCTTATTGTAACCCTATATAAGCCTTCTTTTCCATGACTTCCCATAAATCTTCCATAATGGATTCACCCAGTGCACTGGAGGCCTTTGTTTTCATCCATTTAACATTTTGTAGGTACCACTGCAGCAGTAATGTCCATCTAACTTGAATCAGTCATTTGATAAGCCTCTATTAAGAATTACAGATGCTAGGCACTCTTAGGTGCTGGGAATGTAAAAACAAGAATGAAGCAGTCCCTTTTCTTAAAGATCTTTCATTTTATGGAAGGAGAGACAAGTATACAGTACATATAAGCACATCAGAGAAAGTCCTGCCTGAGCTGAACTTTGAAGAAAGGTAGGAATTCAAGAGGTGGAAATAAAGAGGTTGAAAAGCGTGTATGAAGGGTTTTAAATGTGAAGCAGGTGTCGGTAGTTGATCCCAGAATAGAAAGTTATTGGAGTTTATTGAATGAGAGGAATGCCATGATCAGACTAAGTTTTAGAGAAATCAACTTCGGTAGCTTTGGTAAATTGGAGAGATGAGGGACTTAAAGGTAGGGAAACCAATTAGGTTTTTGCAGTAGTAGACCAAGGGAGGAGTGATGAAGACCTTAAAATCGGGTAGTATCTGCGAGTGGAGAGAAGTGGATAAATGCCAGAATCTAGCAGCTAGGTGTATTATGGAGGATATAGTTGATAAGACATCAGTTAATTGGCTGTGTGGCATAAAAAAGGGTGAGAGGATGACTAGAAAGATGCTAATGCCTCAACAGGAATAGGGAAATTCAGAAGAGGGTTGAGTTTTCAGAGAAGAATGATGGTTTCTAGTTTGAACATGTTGAGTTTGAGGTGCCTGAGATATCACCATTTTGAAATGACCAATAGACAGTTGATGATCATTTCCTTAATGAATATCCATTGTGACACTTGTTTAGAAGTCATGGTTGGTAATGTGCTGTGGCCTACTTATGCCCATCATGCATCTGTTCATAGCTCTTTGTCACCCACGATATTTTTTGGAGATTATGATGTTCCATTATTTGTAGACACATAGTATTACTCTGAGAATATTGGTATTTTTAAAAAAAGTTAAGACTTTTTGTGTTAGGAATTAGCTACTCCCTTACACGTGTATAATCTAAATTCCAAATGGATTATTGAACCATATATGTTAAGTCATCTGATTATTAGTGTCATTTTCAGATAGAATTTTGTTTTTATTTGGGAAACATTTTTGGGAATTTCTAGCTTTTCTGTGAAATTACTTTCACTTAGGAAAAGGGAGAGTACTCTCTTAAATTTCATCTGGTTACAGTTTTGACTGCAGTGATACGCACTATTTGTACTTACTATAGGAAGAAGAGTTGGTGTAATCACATTTCATTATGATTTTAATGTTATGTACGGGTATTTTTATGTATGCTTGTCCTGAATTAGTATGGTAAGGTGTTGCTAGTAAATTTGGACCATATTTTGGATTATGTGTTTGAAAACTATTCTAGACAAGTAGATCTACCCTATGGAGAAGGTTTATTAGCAAAGGGAAGCTAACAAAAGTATCTAGGATAAACTAAGAAATCTAGTTATAATTGTAATAATAATTCACATTTATAGAATACTTTAAAGCGTACTAAAATGCCTCCTTCATTATAATCTTAAGCTTTAGATAGTACAAGTATTTCCCCCCCCCCATTTCACAAATCAGGAAAATGAGGCTTAGAGTTTATGACTTGCCCTTCTGAGCAACACAAGTGAAAAATGTGATTTGAAATAATGTTTACTGACTCCAAAGTCAGAATCCTGGAAGTTATTGAATCAAATTTCCTTCAAAATTAACATATAAATTCAACCTAGATTTTTCTGAGAAATTACTTTTGTAGGAAATTTGAAAGTAGACAAAAGAAGTTTAAATCATGAAAGAGAAGGATATTTTTGACTGTTCTAATTGTCCTGGAGGTCGTATTGGAAGGACAATCGTTTCCTTATTTGTCTTTAATTTTTTCTTCAAAATGTAGTTCAATAAATTTTCTTTTTTGAAAGAATGAAAATATTATCTTCAAATAAAAAGATTGTCTTTTGTGAATTTCTTTTAAATTATTTTTATAAAATTCATAATTTAAAAAGCGAGCCCTACATCACAGAATTTCAGAGTTGAGAGGTAGAAACCATGTAGTCTAAGACTATTAGCCATTTTTGTTCTAGGAGATCCAGAGTTCATTCTCGTTAGCACAGAAAACAGATGCAAATCTATCTTTCATTCTTCTCAGTAGCATATGATAACAGGCCCATCCAACTAAGCATGGGTCCCATTTTAAGTTCTCTTTTCTCAGTATAACTTTAAAAAATAAATTTTTTATTGTCTGAA